CAGCCTGGCCTCAGTGGCCTTGACTTAGGGGTTCTCTGAGTCATTCCTCGTGTGATTTTCATTAAGTGAGCGACAGAGTATTGGTATTGCTATCAGCACGTTATTGGTGTTGGATTCACGTTCACAAGTCATTTCTGACTCACTGCGCCTCCCAAGACGGGACTTCCCGCACTCTCTGGACCAGGACCGACGGGGAGATGGAGGCAGAAAGGAAGGGGGCGCAGCGCCAGCTCAGAGGCTGCGTTTGGGGGCTGCGGGGCAGAACTGCAGAATTCAAGCCTCACGCCTCTCGTCATCGTGCAGAAGTGTGCGCTCGCTGAGCACGCGGCATGCATTTTTCACAGCGCGGCTGGGAGAGGGTATAATTGGAGGCGAGATGGCCCCACGTGTCCTGCGGGCCATCCAAGGGAGTTGCCCTGAGAACAGTGGCCGCCGGCGGCTCCGACGTCGTTTCCTCCTGCGCCTTCGAGCAGGAAAGATCCGTTCCTGTGTCCGCAGGCTGTGTGTCTGCTTGAGCGAGTGCCGCAAAGACCCGCAAAGTCCCGGTTCTGCGTAGGCAACACTGAAGCAAGCAAAGGCTCAGGTCATCTCATGACGGGATTTGTTATTCTTATTGTAGGAGCCAGTTTAACGATACAAAAAGAGGTCTTAGCATTAGATGCATGAGAAGTAGCAACGCGACAAACAGTGCACATCAGCGTTCCAAGTTCCGTTTCTGTTTAACCGTGTATGCGGAGAGGAAGGTGAAAGGCAATGACTCAAAATGTTAGCTTGTATTGGTGGGTAGGAAAGTCAGAGTTTGTTTTTTTTTTCTTATTCCTTTTTTAAAAACCTTGGCAATTAATTCTATTTACCAGGTTGAGTTTCCTTCAAGCTGCTCAGTTGAAATGCGTACCAAGGATCCAGGTGGAGCCCCGAGTGAGCACCAGAGGTGGTCAAACAATCTGTTGCAATAATGGTGGGCTGATGAGGACTGTGTTAGGTTGTAATCTAACAGACTTAATGGCAGCTGAACAGAATAGGGCTTTATTTCGTCTCTGCCCCATTGCCCCTTATAACATGAAGCCAGAAGAGGGTCCATCATGCTAAAGGATCCAGCCGCCCTCTTTCTCACCTCTCCTTACAGTGTGCTTTCAATCCTCACAAGACAAAATGGCTGCGTTGTCTCCAGACATTGCATCCCTAGTCCAGGGACAAAGAAGGGAAGGTGGGGAAGAGGGCAAATGCCAAAATCCCTTGATTGCTTTTATATTCAGGTGGCAAACCCTGCCTAAGGATTGCTTCTGACTTCTCGTTGTCCAGAACTGGGTCATTTCTAGCTGCAAGGAGAGCTGGGAAAGTAAATGTGTTTAATGGGCCCATTACTGCCTAAGTGAGGTTGAGATTCTGTCAGTGAAGAAGCAGCAGAGTGGATATTGACCAGGAACCTTGCAGCGTTTGCCTTAAATAACTTCACCATCACTTCCCATGAGTCTCACTGCGCTCCGGGCACTGTGCTGGATACAGGAATTGTTTTGTATCGGTGATCTGGGGACTGTTGTTATTCCACATCACAGAAGAAAAACCCAGACTCAGGAAAGTGAAGCCACTTCACCGCGGCCGCACAGAATGTCAGGGGAGACAGTAGTCTAACCCCGCAGTCTGGCCTTCGTGACTCCCCTCGGCTCTCAGGGCCCCAGGCAGCTCAGGGACGCCGAGGGGCTCTCTCGCCGGTCAGCTGGCTCACCAGACGTGCCGCTTCTTCCCTGGGCTACATCCGTCACGACTTAACTTCAACGACTGTGGCATTTATCAATCAGCCAGAAAGCAGGTCCAGCACCCGGAAGACGTCGCACTAATTCTGCACGTTGGATTTATTCCCTGTTTAAACCATGAGTTAAGTTCCACGCAAGGGGAAAGGAAAACGGAACAATTAAAGCAGCCCTCTCCCCGGGACAAGTTTGGGTTTGTAGAACTGTGTGTGCCACTGCGTGTGCGTGTAGGGGGGCAACCGAGCTGATAGAAATATCGTGGTATTTGGAGTCAGGAAACCCAAGTTCAAGTCCAGCTGGGTGACCTCCAACAAGACAGAAGCCACCGACCTTCAGTGTTCTTACCAATATGTAACAATGACAATAAAGCAACGTGGTAAAATCACCATGTGACCAGCAAAGCAGCATCCAGACAGCAGTGATCACAGCGACAATCACCATGGCAATTAACACCAGCAACGGGGTTACGGCAGCCCGCCTCCCTTCCAAGTCGGTCTCGTACAACTTGTTTGTACCGTTGTATCATGCATATCAAATATGGATAGCTTATAAATGTATATGCATATTTTGTATATGTACATACAATTGATGTATATGTTGATATGAATAGATATGTATCATCTATTGATCTAGAAATATGTATGTATATAGACACACATGTATACATATGTATGTAAGATATATTGCTATTGTATGTATGTCACTATGATATATACACAGGTATATCAAAATATGTATTTCTTTCTCCATGTTTTATTTTATTTTTTATTTCTTAGCCATAATTATAAATGACAGGCAGACCACTTTTTAAAATGAAAGAACACTCTTTTTGTAAACGCTGTTAATTATTTTTTATTGCTTCTTCCATCAAGATGCTTTCGAAGGGAGCCCTAAAAAGCGGAAGGAAATACCGGATCGCACCCCAGTGTCCACCACGGCGCTGGCTGGGCTGCAGTCTTTGTAGCGGGCGACGTGGGCAAAGCAGACGCTGAGCTAAACCGCCCCTCACGCTCCTGCTGAGCGATACGGCCTCTAACCCAGCTTCAGGGCCTCGAGCGGCTGCAGACTGTCTGCGGTTCCTGCAGTCCCAGCGACTCCTTGTGCTCTCACGGGGAGGGTGATCTCTCTCTCCAGGCAGATGGCCGCGTTCACGCTCATTTAGCCACGGCAGACTGTCCAGCACGGGCTGGCTGGCGTCCTTCTCCGGCATCTCCCACGTGGCTGATTGTGTTTGGTTCATGGAGGCTGTGATGGACGGAGCTGGCGGCCCGGGGTGTCGCCTGTCGACTGCGCAAACAGTCGTCTACAGCGTGGCCAGATTGAGGAACCCTAACCCGACACCTCAGCAAGGCCCCCGGGGCAGGGCCGACTTCTCCTTTAGGCACAGTGCTTAGGGATCCCAAAACATTTAGGGGCCCATGAAAATGTCCCAACTCCTTTTAGAGTCAGAAGGAAAAAATGGCTTGGAGTTTAAAAAAAGGGGGGAGGGGACGAGACATGTGTGGGAGGTCTGGGTGCCTGAGTGTGGGATGGGATGGCAGGGGGGCCGGGGAGGGTGGGGAAGAGGGTCCCACGAGCCACGCTGGAGACTTGGGCATCCACCCAGGGAGCACAGGGGACCACGGATACTCACAGGATGTCAGGAGGGGCGATGGGGACGGCTGGGGAGGAGGTGGGGGACCTGTGCGTTATCCGGGGAGAGCCGAGCGGATTCGGAGACTTTGCACCCACACCTGCACACAGCCCCTCCTCCCCGTGCCTCACTTCGACCTCGTTCGTTCTGTGCCTTCTCCAGCACCTGTCTGTGACCTACTAGCAGACAGCTGCGTTCCCCAGGCAGGTCTCTGTCGGAACTAACACTCTAGGACGACAGGCTCTGTTTTCCTGGCGTCTCGCCTGCCTCCCCGTCCCAGGGCTGGGACTAGGGCCCCCGGGGCTCGACCTGTAAAGAGGCTTCCTCTCTGTGGACCCTGGGCTCCATGACTCTGACGGGACTTCTCCCTGCGGCATGCGTCCTGGGCTGCGTGCAGCCGTCCTGCTCGAGGCCCGGCCTGCGCCCCTGGGAGTCCCATGTGGGAGACGGGCCTGACTGTCAAGAGTGAAGGTAACAGGAGGCATCAGATGGCTGTCCCCTACTGCACCCGGCTGCCCCCCGTGTCTGAGGTCCCTGGATGCAAGCAGATGACAGTCTTACAGAGTGCCGCCTTGAGGACCTCGTGGGGAACAGTGTGGGGACAACGAGGTCCTTCACAGTGCCAGCATCCTTTTATTTACATATTCTTTTCCATAAATAGTTGCTAAAAGCGGACTGTGTCCAGACGCTGAGCTAGACACAGGATGTAGCAGCGCCCAGACAGCCAAGGTCTCACTCAGGGTCTGGGGTGCGGGGTGTCGCTGTATTTGCACAAGCAAGCCGAAGGGAAGGTAGGAGAGCATCTGTGTCTGGGTGAGCTGGGCTCCTGGCACATCTGGCTTCCTGTTTCAGCGTCTGCAAAAGCGGCTTTGGGGAGCTTTGGCGCGGCCCCCAAAATGGTCCCTGTCAGCCAGAAACGTTAAAAAGGACAAAAAAACAAAACAGCACAGGGAAAGAGAGAGAAGCGTCACACAGCAAAGAAAGGTAATTGCAAAATAAAATGGAGACAGGACCCAAGGCTCACCTGGAAGGTGTTGGAGCTTCTGAAAAACGGCCCTGACTTCTGGCTAGATGGCAGAATGGGGGCGGGGCTTGGAGAATGCTGGTGCCCCCTCCGGGCTGCAGGGGTGTCCCTTGAACGCTCCCCCAGGCGACTCTGCCTTGCAGCCAAAGTGGGGATAGACTTCTCTGCTTCTCTGCTTCAAGGAACATTTTTGGCACTTTGTTAAAAGTTCCCAGCTGATAAAACAATCCGCACGCCTCCATCCTTCCATTCGATCTTAGGTCTTTATTCCTGTTTCTCCTCCGGCGTTGTGAAGGTCTTTCCTTTGTCTTGTTCCCCTAGTTTCTCCTCAGCCCCATCATCTTCACACACTCACCCCCCCCCACACACACACGCACACATGTACACACACATACACACATGCACACACATGCACACACACACACACTGCCTGCGGCTCAGCATGCACAAATGAACTGTGGATGAACAGCTCCCGCATGCACACAGCAAGGGTGTTCACTGCTCTGTTGCCGTCCCCCTGGGAACTCAGCCATAGAAACCCATGAAGACGAGATGGAGGGACCCTAAATAGCTCTGAGTCCCCATCTCCTACCGCAAGGGCTCGTGACGTGCACAGTGCTGAGACGGAGATGCTGGTGGGCGATGTGGCCATTGTCCTTCCTTCTCCAGTCCAGACTTCCCAGCTTGTATCCCAGCTTGAACACTACTGTGTTCTTCTGAGGGTGACAGCCAGAGAGGATGTCCAAGGCCTCCCCAGGGTCCCACCTACAACCAGATCACCAGTTCTCACCTGGGGCCAGGTGTCGGGGGGTGCTCCTGGCATCGGGTGGTGGAGGCCAGGGATGCTGCTCAGTGTCCTGCACGGGGCAGCCCTCAGAATGGACTGGCCTCGGACCTCAGTGCTGTCCAGACAGAAACCTCATGAAGTCCTTGAGGGCTGCTTGAGTTTCCTCCCTGCCTTGGCAGCCTTCTTGTTCATTATTGCAGAATCTGGGCTTGTATCGCTTTGACTCAACCTCAATTATTATTGTACAACTATGATTTATTTCCTAGATTTCCTAAATTAAGGCACTTGACTTTCTTAAGTCAAAGAAACGCATTTAAAGCGGAAACGTGTGTAATTACAGCATTGGGGGAGACCAGTAGTTTCATGTGCCACAGATGGCTAGGACCGGGGAAAATAAGGACAAAGAAGACACAGAGTTGATGTGAATGTCTGGCTGGAGACGGTTGTCTGCGGGTGAACACAAGGGTCCTTTTGTTGTGATGTCGTTACTCCGGGATCAGAAGGGGGTGAAGACAAGCTGACCCCCATGGGTTTCTCCTGAAGGGGAGGGACCTGGAGGGGTAGACTTCCTTACTCTGCGGGAGGACATGCCCTGTCTGTGCGCCCCGTAAACCTTCCCAGGCCGGGGGTAGTGCACGCCTCACACTCGGGGAGACCACACCCCCCTTCTTAGGCTGATGACGAGGCTGCACACCCCACGTCGGAGATTGGCAGAGAGTGTGCAGCACAGCTCCCTGGGTCTGCCATCTCTCTCTCTTTTTTTTTTTAAACTTTTGTTTTCTTTTTATTGATGTTAGAGAGAGAGAGAGAGAGAGAGAGAGAGAGAGAGAGAAACATTGATGAGAGAGAGCATTGATTGGCCGCCTCGGGCATGCCCCCCACTGGGGATTTGGCCCACAACCAGGGCATGTGCCTTGACCAGGAATCGAACCTGCAGCCTCTTGGTGCAGGGTCGACACTCAACCACTGAGCCACACCGGCCGGGCTGTGTCTGCCATCTCAACCAAGTTACTCAGCCTTTCTGAGCCTGTTCCGGACGCATAGAATGGGGCCTTGTCGCCGCCATGCTCAGCGGAGCTGTGGGCCGTCATGAATGAACTAAGATTCCAAGCTCGGCTCAGCACTGTGCATGGCCGCTGCTCACTGAGGCACCCTCTTATCAGCCGTGCATCCCCAGAAAAGCCCAGACAGTCTCCACTACGATTTTAAAGAGTGAAAACCTGCACATCTTTCCTGAGGTCCCCCTGCCCCACGAATACACACAGGCATGCGCCCGCACGGACAGGGGGCCAACGCTGCAAAGCCGAATCTCGCTGCCTGGTCTTCAGAGCCCGTGAGGACGGTCGATACAGCTTTGATTTGCCGGCTGGCTTCCTCCTTTCGCACACGACCTCTGATGTCCCTGGAGACCAGCCCCATGCTGCTCTGAATGGCCCAGCGCTCTCGTCTCAGCCCTGGAGAAATTCCCAGGAGGCGTGGACAGTCTTGGGGTCCAGGAGCTTGGAGAGGTGTTGGTTTAAAGCTGCTGGGGTGAAGGGCTCAGGAGGTTGTGGTGTCACATCTAAGCTCCCTATCCCTTGTCCCAAACAAGGCCTCCATCGGTGCCCCGACCCCCAGCATCCCCACCAAGTCTCCCTGTCCTAGGAAGACCCGGGCCAGAGCCCGCTGTAGCCCGGGGGCCCCAGGTTGGCCTGACCGAGGGGGCGTTTCTTGTGATCAGCGCCACCTCCCCACTCTGAGGTGGGTGGACAGCACGTGGACGTGTGTGCATGTGTGTGAGTGTGTGTGTGTGTGTGAAAATACTGAGGTGCAGGGAGCCATTCCACCGCTGTGGATTAGAGTCCCCGCTTTTGAGAGATGACATCCCTATGCAGGAAATGAGGGTAATAATCTCCTGATCTCCCAGGGCTGTCTTGAGGACCCAGTGGTCAGCGTTTTCAGACACAGCGTGGAGGCTGGCCCACGGTGACCCTGATCTTCAGTGGCAGGGACTGGGACTAGTTTCCGGTCACACGGAGCTTTACATTGAAAAGAGACCCTGTGGCTCAGAGCTGGGCCAGGCAAGGGGAACTCTGAGCTGGAGCTGTTTCCAAGGAGGGAGCTTCTGTGCAGCTGCCGGACCCTCCAGATGCCAGGTGGCGATAACGTGATGGAGGAGAATACAGGAGGGAGGGGGAGATGGCCCGGCGGTGGGGTGCGTGGTTAGCGAGTCTCCAAAAGAAGGCCATGTCTGTGTACAGATCTAAAGAAAGTAAAAGAGTGACCCACTGGATTAGCAAGGAGCCTAGTTCAAGCAGAGGAAACAGCCTGTGCCAAGGTCCTGAGGCAGGACTGGAGCTGTCCTCTGAGGACTGGCAAGGAGGCAGGTGGGTGGAGCAGGGGGAGCTGGGGGAGCAAGTGCAGAGGCGGCTGACGCGGGGACCCCTGGCCAGGACTTCACAAGATGTGGGCTCCTGGGAGGATCACGAGAAGATGAGTGACAGGACTTCACTCACATCTCCAGGGGACCCCCCTGGCTACTGAGAGGACAGACTAGAGGGCCAGGCAGGCCCCGGGAGCCCAGCGAGCCCAGGAAGAGACGGTTCCATAGTCTGGGTGAGAAATGGTATGTGTTGGACCTGGGTCACATTCAGAATCTATTCGTTAACAAATTCGGAGACACATGGATGTGGGGAGCAGGGACGAGGGGGACTCTTGCTTTCCATCACTGAGCTCTGTTTTGTCCAGGCCACTGCGTGTCTGGCCCCCGTGAGCATGTCTCCTGCCTTTATGGTGGGGACCCGAGAGGGTGGATGCGGGGAGGCTTGAGCTCGGGGGCAGCTCCCGGGAATGGCCACAAGGGTGTCAAAGCAGGCAGGGGACAGGCCCTTGAACTTGGGGCGGACAAGCTGTGGGTTGGCAAGGTTCATAGCCCGGGCAGGAGCCAGCACCTGTGGCCTGATGCTGGCTGGGGAGCAGAGTAAACAGAAATTCAAAGGCGTCCCCTGCGGAGCAGGGCAGGGCAGAGACATGCTCAGGGTGAGTCCTGAGGCTGCTGACGTCACACCGTCAGGCTGGGGTTTGGATCCCCGGGAGGTCAGGGAGGGCCTGCATGCGGAGGGCAGGTGCCCCGTGTTACTGCAGCTGAAGGAGGCAGGGAGGCGGTGGAGGGCTTTCCTTGCGCTCCGTGGGGGCCAGGGGCGCGGGGTCGGGCTCTCCATGTTCCCTTGTGACGTGGCCAAGGGGACTGGCTTCAGTCCTGGAGGAGAGGGGACCGAAAAGGGCCTCTGGCTGCCAGGGGGCCAGTGTGGCATTTGTGCAAAAACTCCTTGGAGTGAGGTGCCTTTCTGAGTTGCGGGTCCCTGGGGAGCAAGTGACTGGGGAAGCCCCAGGGAGAGAGGTTCGTGCGCACTCTGCAGCGGTGGCGGAGGAGGGGAAGGGAGAAAGGGAGGTGGACACCAGAAGGAGGGAGGAAGGGTCAGGCGGAAGCGGGGATGAGCACTGGTCACAGGGCTGCCTACCCCGCCGCCGGGGACGACCGAGCACGTGCGTGGTGGCAAACCCGGTCCAGCCGCGCAGGCCTGGTGCTGGGCGCGCGGCCTGGAATGCTCTCGCTTCCTCCTCTCAGGACTCCTACCAGACCTGAGGACGGGCTGAGCTTCCTCTCCCTGCCGCGGGTCTTGCCTGTCTCGTGTGGACTCGTGCACCTCCATCAGACAGGCCTGCCCCCCAGGGGACATTTGGCAGTGTCTGGAGACACTTTTGGGTCAAGACTCAGTGGGGGTCTGGGGAGCTTGCTTGTAGCATCGAGGGGGTAGAGACCAAGGATGCTGCTGAGCACCCTGCAATGCCAGGATGTCCCCCTTTGCAGGGAGGAACCCAGCCCCGGGTGTTGGTGGCATGGAGGCTGAGAGACCCTGGTGCTGAGGGCGATGGTGGGTGTGGACATCACCCTCAGCCATCTACCTGGTGGCTCTTTAAAAGCCAGATGCTGTACTGACCTTCACACTCACAATGTCCCGTTTCTCGCTCAGCCGCCCGCAGGAAGACCTGTAAGTGGCCCCATGTGACAGGTGAGGCCATTGAGGGGCTGTCCCTGGCCTCCTGGGGCACGAGGGCCTAGGAGGAGACAGAGGACGTGGGGGCTGCCTGGGGTGAGTCATGGTGCAGCCCCTGTTTTTTTTGTCACAGTACCAATGACAGCTGGGATTACTGTCTCTGTTTGAGATGTCTCACTGGATGGTGACAGGGACCCGAGGGCAGAGACCAGTCTGGGTTACCCATCAGTTAGATCCCCAGTACCTGGAGCAGGCCAGGCACCTGGCGGGCCCTCGGGAACCGTCTGTAAGACAAATGAATTGGGGCAGAAATACCCTCAGGGGATCGCCAGAGTCATGCCCATAAGTAAACCTCTCCCCTTGAGTTTGGGCAGAACCTGTGACTTGCTTCTTGTCAACAGAATATGGCAAAAGGTGAGGGGGTGTCACCCCGTTGATTAGGTGACGTTATGTAGGACGCCGTGGAAGCAGACTGGGGAGACTCCTGCTGTCACGAGTGGTCCATGGAGTCCGGCGGCGGCAAGGACCTGAGGGCGCCTCTAGCTGGCAGCCAGTACCCAGTGGGGGCCTGGTCTCCCACCAGCATGGGAATGAAGCCGCCGACAACCAGGACGACGACCCTGGAATCCGGCACATCCCCAGTCCAGCTTCCAGATGAGAAGGCAGCCAGCCGACACCTTGACTGCAGGAGTTTGAGCCCCTGTGTGGAGGACCCGGCTTAGCCATGCCCACACTCCTGACCCACGGGAGCTGTGGGCTAACTGGTGTGCGCTGTTTTAAGTCACTAAGTTCGTGGTAATATGTTATACAGCAATAGAGGACTAATACAGTTATAATGGAAAATAATGGTGTAAATGTTACATGTACACCAGCAGACATTCACTGGATGGTA